CAAATTTTAATTGGTGAAATGAACATAGCCTTATTAACTCTAAAAAATTGTTCCACTTGTTTGTTGCCCTTCTTCGCGATCTCTCCCTTTGAATGAGTGTGTTTTTTTTTTTTTTTTTTTTTTTTTTTGGTTTTTTTTTTTTTTTTTTTTTTTTTTTTTTGGGATTTTTATTACTGGACTTGGCAAAAGGCAAGTCTTTGCCATCAGTTTTTAAGAATTTAAAGTAGAGAAAGAAAAAAAAAAAGCCAGATTCAGCCAGTAGTGGAGCAATTGTTGTCCATATATATATATATATATATATATATATATATAAATATCGCTCTTGAAAAAAGCAAATTATGTGAAAGACCATTACTTAAGAGGGAAAGGAATTGTTTTTGTTCAAGTCCTTTTCTCTATTTCTCGTCGTCATAAAAATTTATGATTTTGCTCTAGTTATCTAATTTGTTTATCAGTAATCTCTTGAAAATAAACTTTTTTTTTTTTTTTTACATAGCAATGGGAAACTCCTCGTCCAACTTTAATGATCTTCCAAGAGAGATTGTGGTCGAAATCATATCGCGGCTACCGGTGGAGTTGTTGCTGCAATGTAAGTGCCTGAATATTTCTTGGGGTCTTTAAAACTCGTTTTAAAATAATTTTTTTATTTTTATATGAAAATAAAAATGAAAACGTTAATTATTTTTAAAAATGTGTTTGATAATTTTATCAAGAGATTGTTTTCAATATAAAAAAACTCATTAATGTCTCTTTTTCTTCTCGAGAGATGAGAAAACGAAAACGAAAAATAAAAAACGACTAAAAGTTATTTTTCATTTATCTCTCATTTTATATTAAACCAAAAAATCATTTTCATTTCCGTTTTTATCTTTATTGCGTCAAACGCCGTTTTAAAAGCGTTTTAATTTTTTTTTCTCGAAAAACGTGAAAAATAAAAATGAGATCAATTTCAAGCACGGCCTTGGTAACTTTGGCATGAAGTGTCTCATCAACAACCCCAAATTCGCGGCCAAGCACCTCAACCGCGCCGAATCCTCCCCGCCCGCAACCTTACTCAGTCCATTGTCGCATCCGCCGCGAAGAGCTTGAATCAGGAGGGTTCTGCTCCTATGAACTAACGGCTTCATTCCTTACTGCACCATCTGGTGACAATGATGACAAGGATGATGTTCATTTGGTCGCTAAAGATACCAATTTATTACTTTATTCAGAATTTCATTATGAGCCGCAACTGGATGTTCATCATTTGTAATGGCATCGTTTGCTTTGTTAATGATACCGAGACCTGTGGCGCTATGCAATCTTTCTCTGCGCATGGTCAATATTTTTCATACAAGATCAGACTTGCTGTGGGATGAATCTATTATCTTGGGAACGGGATTCGGTAGCTTGCAACTATAAAGTTGTTAGGATTTGGAAGACCATGAAAGCTGAGGCGTTCACTCCAGGTACTAGTGATTCTTGGGGAGAAATCGGACTTTTCTATAGACTATGAGCAACATGGGAAGTTCGATGGTCATGCATATCGCAAGGAAAATTGTTTCTGGTTGCTGTCCGGTGTTAAGAAGAAGACAGTCCTTTGTTTTAATGTGTGCAGCGAGGTATTTCACACCATACCTTTGCCTGTCAGCTCAACTCAACGTGTTCGAAGAATCGCAGTCTCGACTCACCGCTTACAACGACACTCTCCATTTATCTCGGTATCCTAAGCGTGAAGAGTATGTTAATTCTATTCACATGCGGAGACTCAATGTCAACACTAGTTCTTGGACAAAATGTCTGAATATCTCTTTTCCTTTCAAATGATTCCCTGTTCCGTTGACATTTTTGCAGGGTGATGAGCTATACATGGGTAGTGATTATGATCAGGGAAATTGTTTCTGGTTGCTATCAGGGGTTAAGAAGAGGACATTCCTTTGTTTTAATGTGTGCAGCGAGGTATTTCACACCATACCTTTGCTAGATCAACTCAACGTGTTCGAAGAATCGCAGTCTCGACTCACCGCTTGCAACGACACTCTCCATTTATCTCGGTATCCTAAGCGTGAAGAGTATGTTAATTCTATTCACATGCGGAGACTCGATGTCAACACTAGTTCTTGGACAAAATGTCTGAATATATCTTTTCCTTTCAAAGGATTCCCTGTTCCGTTGACATTTTTGCAGGGTGATGAGCTACACATGGGTAGTGATTATGATCAAGAAAATTGTTTCTGGTTGCTGTCAGGGGTTAAGAAGAAGACAGTCCTTTGTTTTAATGTGTGCAGCGAGGTATTTCACATCATACCTTTGCCTGCCAGATCAACTCAACGTGTTCGAAGAATCGCAGTCTCGACTCACCGCTTGCAACGAAACTCTCCATTTGTCTTGGTATCCTAAGCGTGAAGAGTCTGAAACTTCATGGAAACTTGGATCCTATATGCTATTCCGGTGCTTATGTAAAGAGTTTAGTTTCTATCAAAAGTAACTCTATGGGGCCTATATGCTATTCTGGTCCTCGTGTAAAATTGCACTTTTGACTTGGTGTTACTTGTGCCCTTTTGAGTCGTTTATAGTATTGAAGATGTAATCTCAAACTAGAAGACCCTAATATTTATATGAGTCAGAAAAATATTATGCAAATTATAAATATTTAAAACTTAAATATTCGTTTTTGATAATTTAGGATATTGCTAAACATCAGGGGAAAAAAAATCATACATAGACAAGTTTTACTCAAACTTTATAAAGCTTTTGTAAGGCTTAAACATAATGGTCGAGGTTTGTAAAAATTACACGAGATGTTTCTAAATAACAAAGGACATTACAATGATTTTGTCCCAATAAATAAAAGGGTGTATAATTTAATAAATCTGTGGCTATAATTCGCAATCCAAATCTCTTACATGATAATCTGAATAGTGATAGTTACTATTTACAATATAACGTTCCTCCTCTGTCCACACCCATCCTAAAAAAATTACTTGACAAGAATCTTACCCTCCCTCAAGCAAACACTTCAGGAGATAGCATTGAGGAAGCAACGAACACAGAGCACGGCGTCATCAGTGGTAGAGGCCTGAGAATAGGAGAAGGTAAAGTCAAGTCATGATTCAAAGTGGGAAGAAAAAGTAATCCCAAAATGAGCAGCATTTCTTGGTAAGTTAATGTGCTTACCACTTTGAGCAGATGTGGCTAGAGGAAGTGCAGGAATTTCGACATAATTTTCTTGAATGATGAAGCTGACACTTGAGATGTATTCGGGCAGGGCGCTGGAAGATCGATAGAGGAAGCTGATCCCGGAAGACATGTCAAATTTAGCATTGGACGGCATACTAGGCAAAAGAAATCCAACGTCTGCCCAAGAAAATGGAGAAGGAAATATTAGTGGTGACATTTCAAGAGAAGACTCACTTTCAGGCACCAACCTAGACCATACAAACTCAAGCATAATTGCAGTCCATTCATTCTCAACACCTGACAGGAAAACAAAGAATTTTATTTTTTTGAATATTAAAAAAAAAACGAAGAATTGAAGAAAGGCAAAAAGAAGAAATAAATAAGTTTCAACAGGCGAGAGAAAAATCTTCAGCAGTTAAGCCGACGTTTTTTTTTTTTTTTTTTTTAAGCCAGTTCACTAAACTGTTAAGCTTATCCTTATATTTCTTGTACTCCAGCGACCCCCAAGGACAGTATAAATATATATTTCTTGTACTCCAGCGACCCCCAAGGACAGTATAAATATGTACATAATTACATACTTGCACACATGTAGGAAACTTAGGTAACCATTTGATCCAGGCATTTAAAGAGATACCAAACAAGTTCAAAAAAAGAAGAGAGATAACAAACAGGTTCTCAAGACAAAAGCTAAAGGGCTAAATAAATACAATCAGACCAGAGAGAGAGAGAGAGAGACAAAAGCTAAAGGGCTAAATAAATACAATCAGACCAGTTTTTATTCAGGAATAGCGAAAGAATGCAGGTTAGGATAGATTTCTTTGATTTCAGACCGAGGTACATCAATTGTTGACTGCTATCAAAAAGACAGAAAGAACACGTATTAATATCAGCTTTTAATTAGTGTGATTATAAATTGGAAAAATGGAATTGAGAGCCAATACAAACCTTGAGGAGAAGTCCTTGAGGCTTATATGACAAAGACTGTACACATCTCTGGTAATATTTGATTTTCAATGATGTAGCACAATACAAAGTTCGCAAGTTCATTATGGAGCTCTGCTTTTGCAAGTGGGACAATATAGCTTTCCATGGCAGTACAACATGCAGTCCGGTTACTTGTCTCATTTCCACAATCTTCTGTGACATCACATGTCAGGGAAAACCAATGGACAAACTGGAGCGTGTAACATCGATAAAATCCTCTCATAAAAAACATGGTTGAAATACAAATGGCAATAACTGAAGGGGTCAAAAGAGTAAAATTCAAATTTCAAGCCAACAATTAATAATAGTAATGAGTAAAATTTGTGTCGAGTTGTTGACATAGCTCACCTTTGTTAAGATTGCAATTAGATAGTCCCCGAGAACTTTCCTTAGCATGCACAGGAGCAAGTTTACTTGCCAGCCAGCAGAGGATGATATTTTAAAATCGCTGACCTCAGTTGAGCGCTCAGGTAAGACATGAGAGCTACCCATGCTCAAAATCAAAAGCTTTCAACAAAATTTTCATAGCATCTTCTAATATGCCGGCGTTTTGACAATTTGATCACAACATTCTTTCACAAGATCAAGTTTCTCACAAGCACCAAGCAACTTGGAAGCCCCACAGTACTCCCAAATTCGGCAATATCTTATTTACTGGGCAGGATGCTTCAGTGAGATACGATGAACAGCTCGAGCATCTCTGATTCAGAGTGTCATTTGCACCCTGGCCAATTAAAATCTGTTCAATATCCAACAAGCAGTTTGGCAGTGGTTGCTTTCAATGTGAGCATATTGGTAACTTTACTCGACTGAGCAATGAGAATAGCAAGAGTGGTTTCCAACTGGGGGAAACAAATCACATTAGCCAGCAATGGCGCCAACACAGACCAGCAATCTATCAATGTTGTAGTAATCCCTAACAAGCCCTAAAGTTAAACACACGTTCCTGCACTAGGAGTGAGAGAGAGTGAGAAAGAGACTGAAAACTCTAAAACTGGAACAAGTAATACGTAAAGCAACCAACATATTAAACAAAATTCCTTCTACGAACAATAGAATTACTTATTACATACAAGTCAATTCCTACATAAAAATCGCCAGTAGATTATTTTTGAACTAGGCAATAATGACAATATTCCAATCCCTCATTTAAAATTCCCTATGAAAGACCAATTTTCTGAAAGATGGAATCCAACAAGCCTTTTACACACTCCACTCAAGATCTTCCTTTCCTCAACAACATTCTCCAAAGCTTCTGAATTTATGGATAGTGTTAGAAGTGTCTAGGATCGTCTTCTCTAATAATAGCTACTTAGCTGCACTATTTATTGTATCCTATTTTTAGTCTGTTTAGTATTAGTTGGTAGATACAATTAATATCTAATCCCTGTATATATTAGTGTTTTTCCTGAGTAATAAAAAAGAACAGAGGTATTTTCACTTATAGATAGTAATAGAGCACAAGAGGGTGCCAACAGAAGGAGTTTCAACTTTCAACCATAATAAATCTAACAGAACCCGTGATTCTGACAACAATTACTCCAAATCACACCAAAATCTGACCTAAGACATGAAAACTTTTAGGTCAATCTGTAAGTTGAAAAAAAGAAATTAAACGCTGAACTAAACCTTTGTCCTAGAAGTAAAAACTTAGATTCAATTACACAAGAGAAAAAGAAGAGAAGCTGGTGCACCTATTAATAAATCCAGAACCTCCAAAAAAAAATAAAAATAAAAACTTAAGATGGGCACAAAGTACGAACCAATGGCCATAAATTTCAATATTTAAGCAAAACCCAGTAACACAATCGTCCAAAGAAGGCAATTTATGAGTGACCAGCAAATAGAACTCACAGATCATAACAAAATAGCCAAAAACTCAATAAAGCAAATAATCAACAAAGAGAGAGTTGGAAAAAAATACTCACAAAGGCAATGAACTCGTTAGTATAGGCAAAGCAGCCACTAAGAAACTTTATCTTCACCATTGCAGTTAGTGTTTTGTACATCCAATTCTATGTTAAAACTACCACTACTTCCACGTGCACGTTTCCTGGGTTTCCTCAAGATGGGAATTCGAAGAGGAGCCAAGCTGAGTTGTTTCCCATCGAAATTTTGTCTCTGTTCCACAACATCATCCATGCTTAGGTTCTTCTTCTTGCTAGATCTGCTGGGACGGGAAGAAGCCAAACTTTTGGTTACAGGGTTTGCACTGATTGCAGTATTTTCACGCTCACTTTTCTTTAGGTGCGCAAGACAATGGTGGGCACCTGATGAATCTAGACTTAACCATGAAGAATTACTAGCATCATCCTTCCCTCGACTTGTCAAACCTAACTCTAAGGAAGGAATGTTCTTTCCCGAAATTGGAACATTGTCTTGATAATGAATTTTGGTTCTTGATTCACAGGTTTTATCATCACAATCTGCTGTGTTAAGCTTTTCCATGGCCTGACTACACCTTTCCTGTTAACAAAAAGTAAGGAAATAGCATGTTAAAAGTTAAACAGAGGTGAAGGCTTGGATAAACAACAATAAGACCTGGTATGCTTATTCGTAGCAAGGATGACTTATTTCCATACATGGTAAAATATGTGTAGCATTTTACAACCTAAAACGGGGGGGGGTGGGGGGGTTTGGAAGTTGAATTTTGAAAAAGGAAGAGTCACCTCAGTCTGCAGCTCATTTATTTGTTCACATCCCGATCCCTCATCTCCTTCAGAATCAGTCATCTCCTCACACTCAAACTCGACAGTTTCTTCATTTTCTTCATCAGAGTCACTCAACTCTTCCTGTTCCATCACAATCTCTGGATGAGATTGGTCACCCATATCGTCCACGTATCTACCAATGTTATCACCTGGTAAAACCGATGAGTGGCCACCTGAAACAGGCCTGCTAATATTGGAGGGAGAACTTTCATTATGCAAATAAAGTGATCTGTTGCTATTTTGAGTTTTTGATGTAAATTCAGAATTTGGTGCATTTGTTGCTGATCTCACTGGATTATGTGCTGTTTCATTTCTATTCCAAGAGCCCTCCTTTCTAGATGCAGAACTTATGTGGATCTCCAAGTCAAGTTCATTAGCTTTCTCAACAAATTTGCTCGTTGTATGTGGATCCGCATTCACCAATGACTCGGTTTGAACATCAATCAAGTCACCATGTACATAATCAGTTCTTTGCAGGAGAGGATGGAAGTCAATGCCATATGATGAGGAGGTGGAATCCTTCAACTGCAATGACTTGGTAAAAGAACCAACAAGATTTTCTTGGCGAGGATTATGTAAAAGACTTAAATGTAGTTGTGGCTGATTTCCAGAAAAGAAACTGAAAGAACTGGAATTACTGGGGCTGCAGTTCAATGGGTAATAGGGTAGACGTCCATCTTCAGGTGCCTGGAATAGTAAAGGATGCATCTGAAGATCAGAATCTATATTCCCGTCATCCTCTGCACATGTATCTTTAATAATTCTGGATTCTTCTGCAATTGAACTTATTGGACAATCATTTGAGGCATTACTTTTGTTCTCTCTAGATTTTGTGACATGAGTGATCCCCGACCTTCCAGCAAGAGGTATACGAGACATTAAATTTTCTTTCTCAGCATCACCAGTAACACCTCCAGCAGCAGAAACCGGTGTAGATGCACCACGCAGAGAGACAACACGAACAGATGGTGGAAGATTGACGGGGGGCAAATCTGGTGCCAATCTGACCAAGTGCATACCATTAGATTTACGGGCTCTGTATGGGCGAAAATAGAATTGGGACTTCAATGTACTTTGCATTGTATTAGGAACTAAACTGTTTGGTTCAAACGTATTGGCTCCAGAATGTCTAACACCAGCAAAATGAAATGAAGGATGCTGGTATTTTGACGTAGACGAAAACTGTTGCATGTAACCCCCAATGGTTTGAGGAGCTTTCCCATAAACATAATTGTGTAGTTGTTCCGGAGATAGCGTTCCACTGTGAGGATTTCTTGCAATATCCAGGCTAGAGTGTCCACTGGGGTCACTTGGTCTCCAATCTGCCAAAAAGGCCTCGTGAACATAAGCTTTGCCTGAATTATCAATGGAACCATCTGCATTGTTATTGCCTCCACCTGAATTTTCAACCTGCAAGTCCTGCAGTCAAATGCTAAACTTTAAGTACAATCATCGTCTGTGAAAAAAACTTTCAATCATCCAGGCCAACGCCAATGCTGTTTCTCATCAGCCAATTACACCATTTTTTTTAACGATATTCACCCAATCATCTAATATAATGAAAAAGTGTCCCCCCTGTTGGGATGATCGATATAAAGAAAGGGAAAGTTTTAGAGGATGACAGACCGCTTTATTTTGCCAACTAGCTGTAGCTGAAGATTTGCACTTTCTTCTACTTAGTTCATATAATCGGCGCTTCTCCTTCTTTTCTCCATCAAGCTTATAAGATTTCTGAGTTCCAAGAGCAATGCGCCATTGTCGAGGCAATAAGGATGGATCTCTGTGGGGAACAGTGAATAGCCATACAGACATCCAATCATACTTGTAAACCTTAAGCCCCTGAATGATTTGGGTCACGTAAGAATCATACAGCTATAAATTCAGAGAATTGTACGTATGTACATACATGTTATTGACATAAATTTGTGCGTACATATGACAGGTATCATGAAAATATTTTCAATAAGATTACCTCCTGAATACATGCCATCTCTTCTGCAGTAAGCGGAGAGGTTTTCATCCTCCTAACTGCCTGCATTAAGGAAAAGGCTTATGCTAAACTTCGAGGGCGAAAAAAATCAACTACCAATTGACTATGCAAACCCAGGTTTGTTTCCGTAACCTTTCTATAAACCTGAATTAACTAATCAACAGCCATGTTGGACAACCGAAAATTTAGCACTTCAGATTTTTAGCCATCACACAATCATGTTTCTACAGTCTATCAAAACATTAGATCTATTATTGGTATAGAGAAGGGAGGGAGGGAGATAGGGTCACTGGGAGGATAAAAACAGCAAAACACAAATAGTTCATGGATTAGAATCATGTGATTAGAATTATTTTCGATTTACGTGTATTTTTTGTGAGAGAAAATACTGTAGCGAACCATGAACTATGATTCAAATCATGGTTTGAATCTTCCAACCAAACATCCCCTTAATACTATGAATCATCCTGAAAAAAAAAAATGTTACTGTCAATGTATTCGACGTTGTTCAACAGTTCAACAAATGAGAACATCCAATTCCAGTGACAAATCAAGTAACAATGACCCATGACTAATGATGAGCTAAAAAACAAAATTTTAGAGACATTTTAGTGTGCTTTGATTTTCCACTACCTTTATGGGATTTTCTGGCGCCTTAGATGAGCAGCGGTTTTTCTGCCTGACAAAAATCTGTAACAGAAATAGACCACATCAAATAAAACAAGTTAATTGATAGATGCTATTTGCATGTCCTCTCATATTCCTTGGCAAAAAGTAGAGCCATGTAAATGCTAGTTGATGTGAACACTTAGTGACCAAAAAGAGAAATCATGTTAATGTGTACTTACATAGTCTAAAAAGTCCTTTCAAAATCAATAGGCAAAGAAATTATTACCTGATGCTTAGATTTGCAAGGAAGAAATCGTTCTTGAATTGCTTTCCAATCTGTATTATATTCCATCATTCCCAATGCCAACAATCTGGTTTATGAGAGAAAAGTTGAACCTTCATGAATGGATCCCATGAACAATTAAATAAGAAGCTAACAGTTGACAAGGAAAATAGACACCTAAATAAAAATAACGTGCAAAACTCCCACGTATAGCGACAAGAATACTCTCCCTAAAGATCATACCTAAAGATATAGATATCAACAAAAGTCAAATCTCTTCAAGTATTTTGTTAATCGAGCATTGACATCACTGTTGGTGTATAGATCCAAAGAAGCAATGATAAGATAGGTTAAAATTTCAATAATGGCCTGGCTCTTTGCCTAGCACAAAAATTAAACAGTTTTTCCGTTTCTGGTCACAAAAGGTGCATCCTTTACAAGACAGAACATAATTGCATAAATCATATGCAGGTTTGGTGTGTACAGCAACAACACATGTTATAATAGATAGGTGACTCTAAAAAAGAGAACAAATATTTCTTTTCTTTCTTAAGAAATAGGAATGAAACTCACTCGTCCTCGGAATCAGTGAAAAGCACCCGCTTCAAGACGCCCGGAGGGGGTGCTTTATGCGGAAATAATGCTGGGTTAAACAAAGGGAAAAATCTCTCAGATAACTTTGAAATGTTTCTAGGGACCAAAGCAATCGATTGCTTCTTGGTACTTTCAACTAGTGTCGCAGCCAAAGTCTTCTTGCGTGGTTGTTGACCAGGAGAGCTTAATAGTTCAAAATGAGGTTGAACTACTGGTGGGAAGCCAGAAAAGCGAAATAGAGGTTCTCTCTCAAGACGAGTATCACAGCCACTTTCCACATGACACCGGCGGCTTTCCTGGACAGCTATCAAAGTGGTTCCAAATCAACAGAATATCATACAAAGCTTAAAGTCGAAAACATATGTATGTAAAACAAAAGGAAAAAAAAAAAAAAAATGAATGAATGAATGAAAATACACTCAAGAACTTCATGGCATACCTCTCTCCATATCGTCCATAAATTTGCCAACTAAACTAAGAGGAGCTACATCTAGTATGGTCACAGGAGGACCACCTACATGAGGCACCCAAAAGAGGCCCTCCATGTTTGGGAAAGAACCAGCATGACCATTAGAAGCACATTCAGACCTTCCTTTTGAAAGGTAAATGTTTTGAGAAGCAGCTGCCTCATTATTTGGAGAACATACTTCGTCTGTAGCATTTCTAGGAGGAGATCCTACAGCGCATTGCATTGGCAAAAATTTAGAGACATCATTTGACACTGTTGAACAAAGGTATGCAGGGCAAAAGCAAGTACTCGGATATGAATCAGTTCTCCATGCTAGCACGTCATTGCGCTTGTGAAGCATCTCAAGAATCAATTTCTCAACTTGGGATGCAATATGCTGACGAGAAGAATCAAGAACACACAGACAAAATACTTGAATAAGTAGCTGCACATGCTCGTGGATCAAACAATGAAGCTGGCCTATTTGGTGCTGGGTGAATCCATTTATATAACCATCTTGTACAGATGTCTCGGGCATCTTCATAATCTGAGCGGACAAAGATGAAATTGGTACATTTGGCAGAACCGGTAAAAGTGGCCGTAACGGTCTCTTTGTCTGTGTTGAAGGCTTCTTTCTACTCTGAACATAGGTTTTTTTGAGCCTATTCTGCCTAGTCTCGGGCCGCCGTCCTCCTTTCTCATATTCCCCTTCATTTTCGTCCCTTGTATTTTCATCATTGTCACTCTCAAGTGCCTCTTCGAGCTCTATCTCAAAGTCTGCATCATTATCCTCGTCATCCTCAACATTTTCATTTTCTTGAGTTGGATGATCGCTCCCATTCCCGTCCCCGCCATGTAAAACAGCAGCAAGAAACTTCCTGTACTCTTCTTCATCATCCACATTTTGAAGGTCATCTTCATCATCCGTTTCTTGAAGAAAAGTCTCAAGCTCATCAAGTGTGCAGTTTGCTAAAGAATAGCGAGCACGGGTACGTGTGCATATAGCATCTTCAGTATCTAAATCTATCACAGCTTTCTCGGAACCGTTCGCATTAACCAACTCTCCATCCACAACATCATTAACATCAGTTCCATTGCCCGTGTTGTCATCCTTTTCTTCAACAGTTTCACTTCCTGGTTGATAGACCAAGGTTGATGCTTTCTTCTTGGGGTTTCTAACGTCAACTTTTTCAAATTCTTTTTCACATACAGCTTCCGAAGAAACCGCCATTTCCATAACTACTTCCTCCCCCTGCTCAGAATCTCTTTCACAGTTTTGCCTCTCACCATTATGCTTTGATGCCCTAACCCTAACATTGCCACTATCAACAACACCACAATCTAAACCTTCTATCTCGGAGCTCAAACTTGACGAAGCTTCCAGTGACAGCGTTTCCTTCAAGAAAGGATTGAAATCCACATCTTCATCCTCATCCTCATCCTCTTCGTCCTCGGGTTTTGAATTACCCTCGAGACAATCCATGTTTGTGATGATGGGATGATCATTTTGACGGGGAATATACCCAATTTTGGTAGATTGAGCATTTGAACATGAAGACATCTTGAATCTATATTACAACTTTTATTTTTTTTTTTTTTTAGTAGAAGGAAAGTTTCTATTGAACAAAGCAGATACAAAATCCAGGTGGAAAAAAATCCAACCATATAATGTCTTTTTCTATCCAAAAAGCAAGTAAAGATCAACTATATGTTGCCAAAAAAACAACACAAAAAGATTTATCAAACTGCTTCGCAGAAGAAACAAGACATAAAGATCAAGGATCAGGAAGATTGATGATGATATCCAAGACCATCTCTTTTTGTCCTTCTATTAATAATATTCTCTTGTTTCTTATACAAACAAACATCCAAGACCTGAAACATAAAAAGATTAATGAGTAAAACTGTAGAGAATTTAAAATACAACAATGAAAAGAAAAATTGAACGATAAACTTATCTTAAGTGGAGAACGAATTCATATCCCAACACTAACAATAAAATATTTTCCGTAACCCAAATTGAATATTACTTATATATAGGAGGAAGTAAAGGAAACTGGTTTAAAACCTTCCTTACTTACCATTCCATCATACATAACCGAATGCAGATGTAACTATTAGGTATAAGAGCAAGGGTATGAGAGCTCTAATAGATAAACACAAGTATTAAAGAATCATAAATTAAATATTTTCACATATACCAATGATACAATCTGAAAGCAGAAAACTATGAAGCCAACTAGAAAAAACTATAAAGCATGAGAAAGCTATCATTCATAATATATACACTAAACGAAAATTAGAGTTGGCATAGCAGTGCAGATTTAAGACTGAATGGAAAGAAGAAAATCATCAGAAATTTCACAGCAATAAATAGGGAACAGGGAATAGTTGCCAATAAATAACAATAAAAATTTACAGAAGAGAAAATGGAAGAAAGATTAAAGAAAGAACCCTACAACAACATCAAATAAGAGAGACAAATAAAACTCTCTTATACTCATATGGAGTCCTAAAACATGCACTTTCTCAAACACCTGATTACAATGTATTTTAACAGATGTACCTAAGAATTGAGGAATATGAACTGTGTAACGAAGACAACCAGAACACAAACATATAGCATAACAAAAAATTGAAAAATTTCAATAATAGATGCAAATTTTATAATATTAAGATTACAAAAATACCCTATAAGAACAAGAAAATTAAATATAAACTACTCTTGGCAGAGGAAGATATAAAGCCTTTTTCTTTCCTAATCCTCTCCAACAATTCCATAAAACCAGCCAATCACGGATCAAATAATTTCTTAGGCCTCAAAGTCCCATCCATATTAACAGCTTTGATCCTCTGAAAGCCATAGAATTCACCATCAACGAGCCATTTACAATGACGGAGCAATGTGGATCACGGCACACAATTCACCCAAAGATCGGAGAATTCCCACGAAAAACAAATCGCATAAACAAAAACGCAAATTTCCATAATCACCCAATTTGCCCCACATAATCCGCCGAAGCCATTCAAACCCTCAATTGACCAAACAGCAAATGGAGGAGACGATTTCACCGCAACATAACCACCACGAAAAAGTTATATATATACACACACACATAAAAAAGAACGTGTCACCATTTCATAGTTATAATCTATAAATGAACCTGTCACCATTTGTTGGCATTCCAATTCCTCTGAAAACGAAAACAACTGAACTTTGTGTTCTTCTTATTCTGATTGAAACCCACGTCGCTTTCATGCAAACAAACGAGCAAACTCATAGCGCCAAAAAAACAAAAAACAAAAAATAAAATAAAACCCATGAACGAGGCGATATTCTAGGGAGGGGGTGGTCATCGCGCGGAGGAAATGAATATATATATATATATATATATATATATATATATACGCGAAA